TATATATTTATATAACATTTTAAGTATTTTTTTTTTATTTTATGCGTTTGCTTCTCATGAATTACTCAAGCTGTGCACATAATGTAATTGGATTGTAACCTAGCCGAATCACAAATGTAATTATTACTGAAGTTTTTTTATGGTTGTAATCTGTTTTGTGCCAATAAAATAAAAAAAAAAGAAAACGAGGTTCAAAATACAGCAATAAGTACAAAAAATTATACCAAGAAGCAAATACTATGACATTGAAATCAATCCTTTATACATCGCAATCGAATTGGTATATATGTCAACACTAAAGAACAATTTATTGTAATTGGTAAAAACGCGAAATGCAAATGTGTTTTCAACATATTTTGTTTTCTTAAAAGATACACTTTAGCAAATAAAAGTACTTTATATTATTCTCAATTTCGTGTATAATATAGTATCATATATGTGTAGTATATTTGTTATTCATATATATATTTATTCGTTTATATATGTAATTTTAGTATGTATGTATATCAATAATTACTAGTACCGCATTCGTGTATTCTGACACTTCCCTATGGTTGACTGGGAGAGAATGCTTTCAGCATGAAGTCTGCCATGTACACATATTTGTACTAATGAATAAATAAATAAATAAAAAATATACTACATAATGGTAATTTATTAAGTGAGTTTAATCCGAAATTAATGTGAATTTACTGGGTACAGAGGAATAACACCTGAGTCCTCAGGAGTGGCAACGCATGGGGGGTATCATGGGTGAAACAGTATACTCTGTTATGTCCATGGTGCTGCTCATGTCTATAGGCGACGGTTACTACTTTCCATCAGGTGGACTGTCAGCTTGTTTGCTATACTAAGTTAAAAATATCGTTTTAAAAAAAATTATCAAACACAACTGCTTCACGGTAGAAACACGAATGGGACAGAGGTACCCAAGCAATCGACTTTTGTACAAAGTCTCCCTCTGGTGGTGGAAAAAAGGTCATCACCCATTTCGATATCGTCCATATCAGTCGGATATCTATTTTTTTATTTAAAAGTCTGTAATCCAATATTAGTTTTTGGATAACAGACTTTTAACATGTCCCACAAAAAAAAGACAATTGTTTGTGATTAAACCAATTATTTTAATTTAAAAACTAAAGTACTGACACCATTTTGATAGAATTTCTATGTGGCCAATCTGTATGTATACTCGTATACTTACAGATAAAAAAGGAATTATCCAAATCGGTTTAGAATTGACAGAGTTATGAGGTAAAACAAATATTAAAAGAAAATATATAACCGAAATTAGAACCTCTATCTTTTTGAAGTCGATTCTTTGTGGAAATAGGATCTTAAACTATTGAATAGGGGGAAAAGGGATTGTTAGTAATAGGATTTGACAGCCCCATTGGGCAGCAATATACTCTATCAGGCAGACCTCCACGTGGTTCCTCCTGGAAACCATCGTGGCTAATTCTTGTTGAATTCATCACGATGGGCTAACTGATCTACTTCATCATCACCTATCATCACTCACTGATGTCCTGTCAGTGTATACCGATAGCGCAGGCAGGGTTGTCATTCCATTAACACTCAATAAAAAAAAATTCATACCATGTTCAAAACTATTTTACAATAATTAGCGTAAATTGCGTAAATACGTAATATTTGTAAATTGCGTAATGCATAGAAATTTCGTAAATGCAACATATACGTCTATCACCAATTCAGATAAGCGTTGAAACTCGAACATCGAGTAACTGTTTAAAGTGAACATCGAACAATAAACGTCACTATCGAATTTTGAATTTAGAACACCCGCCATTTTAAACAGCAACCCGCCAATTTTGACGTGTCATGTCACGCTCAGAGAACATTATTGGCAAAATGTTAGTAGATCACTAACTAGCTATTAGCTGGTCTCCTCACTAATATTATAAATGTGAAAGTTTGTTTGTTACTTCTTAACGCTGTAACGGCTGTACCAATCACTATGAAATTTTGTATACACGTATTTTGTATACTAGTTTTAACCCATGACTTCGTCCGCGTGACCGGGGTACGTTCTTTGACCAAAATAATAAAAAAAAGAAACAAAAAAAATAGCCTAAGTCCTTCTCCATCCCATACAGTAAATGTATAACAAATTTCATAGTAATTGATTAAGCCGATATATCGCTAAGAAGTAACCAACTCACATTCACTGTTACAATATAGATAAGTAAAGTTGTTAATATAATATATTAAGAAGTAAGAAATTTAAATAAAAATTAAGTCAACACAATACGAACTTAAAGTGAATAAACAATTAATTTACTTAAATTAATTTTAGAAAACTAATTTCTGTGAAACTAATTATATATGTATATAGCAATTCAAAACGTGATATTCGATTTTTTAAATATTTTACACGAATTTTTATTCAACGAGTTATCTTGACGACTCATTTTTCTTTTCTTGTACAAATCAAAATGTTTTCCGTTATGGAACTCAGTTTGATCAAATCTAATAAGAGTAAATTAAAATTACACATGTCGAACTTATAATAAGAAAATTTATACAAGGCTTTTTTTTCTTTATTCTAAACAATAAAGAATTTGCAGTAATATAAAATCGCAAATAGTAAACCAAAAAACCTAGAAATGAGCGACGAGTACCGCCATCTGTCGTGGAACGGCATAACAATCGCTCCCCCCAGGCGGTAGATGTCGCAGTACGATGCCAAGTGTCACCTCGAGACATATTTATAGCCAAAAAACAGCATTTTCTCTAGCAACGGAATGGCTTTTAAATGACTGGGTGAATTTGTGCGCGATCTCACGAATTTGTATGCAGATTTAAGAAGAAAGATGTCTGTGAAGAGACAATGTGTTTTTCGCTCGTGCAAACAAATTTGTTATTTATTTGACGCGTGCGAGAGGTTAACTTTATAGTAGCTAGTAAGTAGGTACTTAACTTGAACCTATTTTTCAACCGACTTAAAAAGAAGAAGATTGTATTTTTTTATGTTTGTAACCTTGTTATTTATAAACCAATTTGGAAAATTCTTTTCTTATTTGAAAGGATAAACTTACAGAATAACTCCATAGAAATTTTGTAAAAATTGGTTTCTTTGTTTCATTTTAAAATAATTGAAGTCGATTATTTTTTATGTAATAAAAATAAATCTTAAATTATGCGACAATTTGTATCCTTAATATATAAGTACATTATCGTAAATCTGCAGAAATGTTTTTTTTTTCTTTATTGACCATCTTACAAAAAAATGTTCAGTACAAAAAGTAGACTTAATACTATATAGCATTTATGTAGGACGTGTAAAAGAATTTTACGTATTATTATTATAAACTAGCGAGCACCACCGACAAAAGTTTTTTTTTTTTTTATATATAAATAAAATACAGCCGACAACAGTAACTCGCTAATAATATAGTTTTATATAAGTTAAAGAATTTTCAAAATCGCTTAAGTAATTGTTAGTTTATCTATTACAAACAAACAATCAAGTTTTTCCTTTTTATCATCATCCACCATAAAGATAAGGTTAAACTTCGGTTAGCCAATATATAAAATCGAAATGTCAACAATGACCCGAAGAACCCAATATATAGATATCGCAGCAGTAACGATATTACCCATGCCTCTGTTTCTTTTTTAATGGATAGTAATAGCTTTTTTTTCAATATGTGATAGGTGAGAACGAAAAGGCAAGTTAGTTAGCCCATCGTGACGAATACATCTCCTCATACTCCCTCCAATGTCAAAAGATTCCAAACCGTCTTTGTTACACACGAAGACTTACCTAGATACAAGCACGAAGACTTCTGAAATGGTTTACTCAATAAATCTCGGGTCTACATCAGAAGCACGAAAGAAGCCTAAAGTATTCTAAACGCTTTAATATACTCAATACAACAAATCAAAAAGAATAACTAAGAATGGGCATCTTGTCATCTTTATCAAATAGTTAAGACGAGATACCCCACAAATGTATGGGGTATCTCACACTTGTTAACTTAAAAAAAAGCAAGAAGTAAGTGGCATTAATGATTCAAAGATAAAGGCATTCATTTTTAAATGATCCAAAGATAAATTTAAAAATTCAGTGATTTAGATGCGTAATGATAATTGTACAAAGATTTACATTTATTTATTGTACAAGTTTGAAATGCTCCTCTAGCGGATAGTTATAGAAACTCAGATTTCCATACAAAATTATCAAGTAAAATGTAAACGCACTCATAGCGAAAAACTTTGTAGAATTATCGTACCTTTATTACTAAATAATATAATACTATCCTACATGAACATTTTATAGAGATAGTTAATACAGAACGTTGAGTTTACAGAGTCACATACAAATTGACAGATGTTAGAGGGAGGCAAAATGGAGGAGTCCGAACCCCGACGAGGCACGGAGCTGCCCATAAATATTAACCGTCTGAGACGTTGTCAACCGGCCACCCTTATTTACTGCTAGTAATTAGGAGTTTGCACTTTGCCAAAGCGATTTGCATCGATCGTGCCGATTTTATCGTTCATTTGCTCCTCTTAATGTTTTATTAGCAATTTCTTTAATTGTGAAAACTTATCTGTCTTTTGACATAGCGATTAAATTATGAATATTTCTTTAAAAATAATTATAAACATTATAAAACCAAAGTTTTTCATTGGACCGTCGCTGTTTCGTATCATTAACATCAGTAATTTGATATTATTGTGCCATCTATGAACATCTAGCTGTACTAATAGTCTATAGCACAAAATTAACCAAAGGAAGAAATAGTATATACAGTTCTTAATAGATGGCGCTGTACTTTACAGTTTTACTTTTAATAATCATTTGACTAGTTATTTTTAAATCAAAATTTACTAAACTAAATTAATTTTCATTTAAAATAAATTATTTGCATAATATTCGGTATTATTTAAAATAAAATAAAATAGTCTAATTTTTCAAACAATATGGAAACTAAACAAGCTACAGCTAACAAAACGCAAAACGTCAAAAAAACGCGGGTAATTTTGACACTTCAGTGTATTTCGTTTTATTTTCTTTTAATAATACATCCAAAATTCCAAAACAGACTTAATTATATTATACACCAAATAATTAAATAATAACAGGCGTTACATGTATATTATTATACATAATTAGACAACAATATATTCAAAATGGATCCGTACGAAATAGAGTTTATAGGTGAAAACAGAATCATAAGCATCATACCAAACTTTTCGTACGACAAAATCTATTTGATTTGTGGCGAATTCGGACCATTTCGGGCTGGTTTACCATTAAATGTCCCTCTGTGGCTGGCTATAATGTTGAAACAAAAGCAAAAATGTCGGATCGTACCGCCAGATTGGATGGAAATGGATAATTTAGAGAACCTTAAGGAGGAAGAGAAACGTTCCAGGTAAATTTACTTAATAAATGAGTATTTCTAATTAAATAGAATAATAATCATCATATCAATCATTACCTCTCCACTGCTGAACATAGGCCTCCCACTATTGGAGGTTTTGCCAGTAGTTGCCACATTTGGCAACCGCAGTTATGCTTTTTTTTAATGGATGATAATGGAATGGCAACCCCACCTGCGCTATCGATATACACTAGCGAGGCACCATTGGGAGATGATAGGTGAGGACGGAAGAGCAGGTCAATTAGCCCATCATGACGAATTCGACGAGACGATAGGGTCCCATCAGTGTGGGAATTTGCCACAGGCCCCAAATGGTAGTACTAATACTAATGGTAATAGTTACACCACTGCTTGAGTGGCTTTTAACAAAGGTAAGGTATGACAGCAAAGTTACTCTGTGAGGAAACAATGTCTTAGGTCTCAGAAGTCAAACAGGACAAGTGCCTGGACAAGTGCATTGGTGGTCACATTCTATTTTATGATTATTTATTATTATAAAAATATAATAGTCAGTGAAGATATTAAGTGAATGATGTAATTTTTTTTATATTTGAAATAAAGTTCTTTAACCTACATTCATTTGTTCTTAAAGAAGAGAAAAAAATTAAAATTTTGGTCACGAGAGTATCTATCAGATCAACTTAATACAAATATAAAGTAATAATATTAACATTACAGATTCTTCACAAAAATGCCCAATGCACACTATATGGTGGAAGCAAAATTGATCCTCGGAGCAGCTGGTGATGATATTCCCAACTCGGCTGAAATAAAGACAATCATCAAAGATATCTGGGACATCCGCATGTCAAAACTCAGAACGTCCATGGATGCATTGATGAAGTCGGGAGGCAGTTACGGCCGACTGGACCACTTGACCATGATGGAGATCAACTCGGTGAAGCCACTATTACCTGCTGCTATGGATGATCTTCTTAGAATACAAATGGTAATGATTTATGTACTTAAAACCTGATGCAAAACACAAACAAGTTAGAGTAAGAGGGGGAAAAATCGTTATTAATTACTGATAATATTCCCAGCATATTACCAGAGGGAGACTTTGTACAAAAGTCGATTGCTTGGGTACCTCTATCCTATTTGTGTTTCTACCGTGAAGCAGTTGTATCTGCATGGCTGTTTTAGTTTGAAGCGTGGAGTATGTCAAGAATTTACAGGATACAGAGGAATAACACCAGAGTCCTCAGGAATGGCAACGCATGGGGGGTATCATGGGCAAAACAGTATACTCTGTTATGTCCATGGTACTGCTCATGTCTATAGGCGACGGTTACCACTTTCCGTCAGCTTGTTTGCCATTCTAAGTTGTATAAAAAAAAACATTGATCCTAATGTTTTCGACATTTGGTATGAGCAATAAAAAAAAAATAATAAAAAAAGGCGCTCCCTGTTACATAACAATCTACCTATCACTACACCATGGAAGTTGTTGAGATGAAATATGGCAATAAATGAATGTTTTAGTTTGCTAACAGAGCACGTTTTAAATAATCATTTAGAAACATTGAAAACCAGAGGGAGACTTTGTATAAAAGTCGATTGCTTGGGTACCACTGTCCCATTCGTGTTTCAACCGTAAAGCAGTTGTAATTAAGTAATTTTAATATAATTTAACCTTTTTTTTTGGTATAATGCTATTTTTTTTATTGCAGATGGCCAAGAAACCAGCGCCTGCAAGTCTCAATAACTCAACATTCAGTCAGTCTGGCAATTCACAGAATGTGTAAATGTAAGATTGTAATTTATGTAATATATAATCTATGTTCTATATAAGTCTATTTTATTTCATTACTAGCGGCCCGTCCCGGCTTCGCACGGGTGGAAATTTTTACAACATTTTACATTTTTATCTGATCCTACCTAGCTACCTATTTCGTAGATGTGCCCGCCCCCACCTGCCCCTCTCTCGCACCGCTACAATGCCCGGCTAGCTAGCCACGCGGCCGACATGGCGCGGGTGGCGGGCGTAAGAATCCCTAATCTTTTCTAGCATTAAATATAGTTTAGTTTTTTTTATAGCATTAAATATAGCTTTCTAATGGTAAAAGAATTTTTGAAATTGGCGAAGTAGTTTTTTGAGTTCATTCATTTCAAACATACATACACAAATCTTTCCTCTTTATAATATTAGTGTAGATAAATAATGTATGTTTTGCCTCATCAATATGTTTGTGTTAATGACTGAGTGAGAATGATGATCATGGAAAATTGTAAGTATTGTAAATCTTTGAACAAAATTAATTGACTATTGTTAACAGTAGTCAATTTTGTTCTAAGATATTATATAAAATTGTTTATTTATTTATTCTATTTGGAAAACATAACAGATAATAAAAAATGTACATAGTTAATGATAGAAAGATAAGACATTGGACAAGGTTGATATCCTAAAACGTGTTAACACGACATGAATGAGATGCAGTTTAAATGAAGTTAATGAGAACTATTAAAAAAAATACTAGAACAATTGAACGTGAAATTCTATATTAATGTATACATACCAGAGGTAAACTTTGTACAAAAGCCGATTGCTTGTGCACCTCTGTCCCATTCGTGTTTCTACCGTGAAACAGTTGTGTTTGCATGGCTGTGTTTCGGTTTGAATGGTGAGATATGGCGTGAATTTACTGGGTACAGATGAATAACACCTGAGTCCTCAGGAATGGCAACGTATGGGGGTATCATGGGCGAAACAGTATACTCTGTTATGTCCATGGTACTGCTCATGTCTATAGGCGACGGTTACCACTTTCCATCAGGTGGGCCGTCAGCTTGTTTGCCATTCTAAGTTGTTTAAAAATTAAATATACAGATACAAAGGAAAAAAATGAAAGTAACGCTGTAACTACGTTAATTCCGAAGCCGTCCAATAGAGGGCGCTACCTGTTACCAGTAGTAATAAATTACAACAATAAACGCGATAATTTCATAAATAATTGATAGTTATTATTAATTTACACCGACGTTAATGTTGCTCTGGCGTTAATTTATTAAAACAGTGACCTATATTTAAAAGTAGACCAATTCATTGTTAACTAGTGATCCACCCCGGCTTCGTGCGGGTAAATAGAAATATAATTTAGCTTATGAAGTAACATAGGCTATAGAAACTACCTTATCAACTTACTAGGTATTATTTCGTATTAGAATATTTAATTCTATTTTATAAATGTATTTACTATTTTATAAATGCAATAAAGTAAAATAAAATAAATAAAATATTATATAGCTTTCTATGGACAAAAGAAATTTTAAAATTGGTTGAGTAATTTTTGAGTTACAGGGTACAGAGGAATAACACCTGAGTCCTCAGGAATGACAACGCATGGGGGGTCCCTTAGTCTCTATTACCAACAATCCCTCTCCCCCCCCCCCCCCTCCCGGAAAGATTTATTCCCATTGCTAGTAATGTACCCTGTCAGTCTGTCGAGCTCCACATGTTTCCCCTAAAAATACTCGTCACGGTGTCTCGCCAGTGTATACCGATAACGCATTTACCATTCGATTATCATCCATTAAAAAAAAATACATTGTTTAAACAGTTGTTATGTCAAAGAGAACGTACTGATTTCACTAATTTATAGCTAATATTTTCAACAGACAGTGTACTGTCAAGATAACAAAACACAATTATTTTCTCTAATTAAGAGGGCACAATTTATCTATTTAAGTATTTAATTGTTGTCTCTAAGTAGGTCGTCGTCCTACATATCATTTCAATATATTTAATCAATCAATCATTTTGTGATCTTGTCTTTTTATTTTCAATATACCACCTCCCATAAGACTGATCGCCACTAAGTCCAGTTTCAAAATTAATTTCCAAAAATTCTTAATTGAGAGGCAAAAGTTAATTCCTGCAAACTTACCTCCATGTTCCATTTGTCTGCTAGTGAACTGTCATATCTGTCTGTTTACTGTATATTAAACTTTTTTTTTTTATTGTATGGATAATCTGGTAGGTAATTTTATTGTTACCCTATTCCCTTTGGCCGCAACAGAATATCAGTGCTTTGCTCTTTTGAGGGCGAAGCAATAAACTGAGTTGTGGCCATTTTGTATTGCTTTGGCACACTCACAAACGAAAGTTGTATTTGGCTTTGTGTATTTTTTTTTTTGTCATTTATATTATCTCGCTTTTTTTGTGTATGTATGTTGTAATTTGTGTGTTGTAAGTAATGCAAATAAATTATCTATCTATCTTTTATTTGCTTATGGGACCAGCTAAGCCGTTACATGTCGACCCATTGGCATCTTTTGTGATATCCCCTGCCTTATACTAACATTTTATAGATCCTGTGTTACCTTAACGATATCCTATGATTTGAGATGTTTATAGTCCCCTGGTTCTGGATAAGTTGTTCCTAATATATTTATGCAACTTAGAATGGCAAACAAGCTGACGACCCACCTGATGGAAAGTGGTAACCGTCGCCTTTTCACGGAATTCTTCACGATGGGCTAACTGGCCTGCTTTCATCCTCACTTATCATCTCTCACTGGTGCCCCGCTAGTATATACCGATAGCGCGGGCGAGGTTATCATTCCATTTTCACCCATTAAAAAAAACCTTACGTAAAGCATACGCCGCAGAACTTAATCCAGTTGCAAGATTTCGAACGTGAGGACCCCACTGTGTTTTATTATGGAGAGTGCTTCAAAAAAATACAGTAGAAACTATAAAATCAAGAGGTTTCTGTTTAATTTTATATTAGTATTTAAATTATGGTTTGTAGATAGAAAAAAAAAATTACGCATTATGTTTTTTAGCGTTCAATTTCTAATTAAACATGGAAAGTCCAAATTGTATCTGTATCTATTAGCCATGTGGTCCCGGCATAGAATGGGCCACCTCTTCCTTTCCCGTAAGTGTCGTAAGAGGCGACTATGGGAGAGCAAGTGATGGGCAGAAGCGTCCCTCTTAAAACATCTCCAAAGCCTTACTGCGGTTACTAACTCACCTGCCAAGTGTGGGTGACCACACGACACATATATATATATATATATATATATATATATGTTATTGTAAAATGGTAATAATATAACAGTAAAAGACATATTTATATAGGAAAATGTGTATTTTGACCTTAGAAACTATGACCAATATAAATCTAACATAGAGACCGTCTAAATTTACGTTAAATCTAGCTTAACTATGTCAGTTAGTCTTTTATTATAATATAATAGGGTCCCTAGAACTTAGATCCTGATATCGTCTTATTACCTACAAATAAACTAAATATTGTATTTAGTTAACATAAAAGCGGCGTTAGGCAAGATCGTTATGATCGGATATAACCCGGCTGTAACCGGATATAACCGGTTTTTTTGTATAATATAACTTTTTAAATCAGTAACAAATATATACCTTATATTGAGAAGGAAAATTAGCTGATAGTAACCATTTATAAGTTCCAAAATCAAAAACAAAAAGCTATACCCCCTTATTGATAAAAACTTAAGACGTTATACAAACGTACAATATTTTAACTGTATTTTGTCACTATCCTTAAAATTGAGAAATTAGTACAAAGGAAAAGGACAAAACAGTAGCTGAAACAATTATTTTATCAATCATTGAATTATTTTAGAATTATACAAAAAATCTTTCTCATTGATTACTTATTGATTTTTACTAATTAATCTTAAATTAATAATTAGATAGTTTGATCCTTTGTTTTTAACCTTCTTAATATTATTGTTAAAAGTTTCGTAAGCAAACGTATTTCAATGTAATCACTGCCGGTTTAACTCACATGTAACAAGATCGAAAAAACTCGACTAGTTTTGGAATCAATTCGCGATCCTTAGTCACGAGTGATTGCCGCCCTTATGTTCACTATCAACGCAGAAGCCAGACTTATATAATAGTATTTTGGAATGTAATATTTCTTTTGAGATTTGATATTAAAAATAATTAACCAAGTTATAGTTCAGAGTTCTTATAGTAAATTATTTAATGATTTTACCAAAGTATTATATACTAAAATATAAAGATCCGTTCAAAAATATAAATGCTAGTCCAGTGATCCTCAACCTTTTTTTTTTGTTGCGGCACATATTTAACGATTTCAAAATTTGGCGGCACACAAAGGAAAAGATAAAAATTATTCACTGCATAAATAGTTTATGACAAAAATTTTAAATATTTGCAAAATTTGGCGGCACACTTTTAAAATTTGGCGGCACACTTTTAAAATTTGGCGGCACACTTTTAAAATTTGGCGGCATACTTTTAAAATTTGGCGGCACACTTTTAAAATTTGGCGGCACACTTTTAAAATTTGGCGGCACACAAAAGTGCCGCGGCACAGTGGTTGAGAATCACTGTGCTAGTCTATGCTGGAACTAGTATTTAAATTTTAATGTTATTAAAAAAATATAATTATTATCTTAGTAAGTCAGGATTCGGTTAATTACTTACAAAATAAGAACAAACACACGAGACCAAATTGAAGATAAATATGTATATATATATATATATATATATAAATCTAACAACATAATCCTACAGCTTTAGCCGTGTTACAATTATGGTGATTCGCTTTGCTCAAAGAATATACACTTTTTTTTTTTTCACCATAAGCAAAGCTATCAAACACTTTGGTCAACTCCAGCTTACACACATGAAAAGAAAACTATTTTAATTTTTTTTTTTTTAATATCTACAGTGTTTATGGACAGACCGTCTATTTACAGTAACAACAATATTTCTGTTAACTCATTTTTCATTTATAAATTATTTTGTAAAACAATATAATATATACAAAGATCTGCCGATATAACAATGCCAAACATGTCTCAAAGATAAAAATATACTTAATTTAAATTGTTTTAGTCAAAAAAAAAATAAATAAATAAATAAACCTTTGCAAGAACGGACACTCGCATTTATTTCTCTAGAATTGAGTATAAGTTTTACGCAATACATTTAGGTACCTTACTACGTTTTAACTTAATAGTCGAGGAATTGGCAGCGGAGGCCCTTTCAAACGTCACCAAAAGCCTAACTGCGGTTGCCAATTCGCCCGTCAAGTATGACAACTATTGAGAAAACACCCCTTATAGGGGGAGGGTTTAAGCCATGGACAAATAACGGCCGAGATGATGATGACTATGTTTTTGATTGTTTTTGATTCCAAAATCTTCTGATACTCCATAAGCATATCGATCAACCTTTAACAGCTCTACTAGCGCAGAAAGTATTGTTAAAAAAAAAAAGAAAAACGGAACGCAAAGAATATATAGAAATATCTATAGATTGTTGTTACAATATCTATACATATATTGGCCCAATAACAGATATATTAGACAACAATTATCCAATATATAATATCAAACAGAAGAACCCGCTCGTAATGAATATAGATATCAGACTGTTATCGGCGATATACCAATAGGTGGTCATCAAAGTCCAGAAGAACTCAATATCTATACATTGAATATCTGATATCTATATATCAGATATTACCCATCTGTACAGAGAAATGGCTAATGTCAGCCACGAATATTTGCAACTGTTAAATAAAAAAAATAAAATGGTAGGCAACATTTTTTTTGGTTTTACTGCAAAAGTGTCCGTTTATCACAAAGAAGTGTATATATACTTAATAATGCGCGTTCATAGCATTTTTCAAAAAGCCTTCGATATAATTCCCACGAGGCAGCCAAAAACGCATTGAACATGTGACCTTTTACACACAATTTTTGCAGTACCCTATAAAAATGTGTGTACCTCTGTTATACTGGTTAATAACTAAAATATGGCACGGGACAGTCAAAGATGAGTAATCCACTGAAGTGACTCGGTTCCTTTGAGACGATGCCCAGTTTGTTACGTTCTTTCTACGGCAATGAACACAAGAGATCTTCGGTGAAAGGATAACAATGCATGTAATGCCTCTAAAACTAGATATTTACAAATTTTTACAAATGATTATCCAGTTCTGTACATCTTAAAATTATGACTTTTAAATTATCTAATACTAAATAACAAATGACTTGCACAATTGTGCGCTACTCAAATACAGAAATATAAATGCTTAACCACAGACCATGAGTCCAAGAGATGACCCAAAGTTATTGTGGGCGCTGGAAGTTGGAACAATATTCCAATTTCAATTACTCTTAAATCAATTCTAATAAATGAAGAAATTTAAAAAAAAAAAGCCAATTCCCCAGCTTTTCTCCAGTGTAACCAATATCTAGGTCGCATAGGGTCAAAATGCAATATTTACAAACTATTTTCTAAGCCCAGTAGTGGCTATAATATGCTAGAATCTTGCTTTTATGGAGAGCTATTTCCCTTTGGAACGTCAAGTAGTTGCTGATATATTTCCCCATTGATAAACTGGTTAGGATGTTTTTATTACGCGAGAAGTTGTAACATGCGCGCTTGGATCTTGGAGAAAGTCGCATTAGTGACCGAGGATGTGGCAAATTAACCCACTCAATAGTCTGCTAAAATATTATTTTAAAAGAATCATGCAAAAAACTTGTGTTCCTAAAAGACATTTGGGGTGATCTATTAAACTCATTGTCTGTAGACTTAAGCGTATTTTCATTGGTATACTATCAGAGACCTAAACAGCAACTATTTTGCTCGGATCTACTTTGACCCTTAAGAACATGACATCGTCTTTGACAAAGTTCCTCTTTTTGAGCATTTCGTGGGAGACAAACCTTGGGAAACCGAAGCCTAAAGTGTCCGGTTCTTTCGACGGTCTTTGGAAGTTTTTCCACGTGGGGTCTGGAACGAAGCTTTCGACGATATTGCACGCTCTATCAGGGTTGGAGCTCTGATCGAAGAGTGTGAAGGCGACGGAGTGAGCGAAAGGCCAGCGAAGGATCGCATCGTATTCGCCTGGAAGGATCTTGATGTACACCGACATGTGTGTGGCCTCGCCCGCTCCATTTCCATTTAGGAATAGTGAAGCCTGGAAGAAAAGGAATACATTAGTATTTAGTTTTGTGTGATTTGTTCGTTTGTTAACGGGGTGCCGTGTAGTCGCGGCATAGGATGGACCACGTCCTTTACCGTAGTTGTCATAAGAGGGAACTAAGGGAACTTGATAGTCGAGGGATGGGCAACAACGTCCCTCTTAAAACATCGCTAAAAGCCTAACTGCGGTTGCCAACCTGCCTTCCAAGCATCTACTGACAAAACACCCCATTAGGACTCTCCTAAATCACTGAACGTAGGCCTCCGCTTATGTTTAGCAGTGTACAATTAACAACTGGTATAATAATAATTACATTAAACCTGTATATTTCAAAGAACTGACTTATAAGTAAGTTACTATGACTCGTAAATTTATATCTAGACCAGATCTAAATCGGCACCGCGTTGCCATGTGAGTAAGCTTCTATATTCGTCCAGTTGTAACAGTGCGTGCACTTAGTCATCAGATGTTATTCACCAGTGTAATAAAGCAGGGCAACGCCGCTTTGTTTACTAACAAAGGTTTGTAACAATATGTATATTTGATGAAGGATCACTAACGACATGGGCTCCTAATACTCGAATGGTTAATTCAATAGTATTATTTGCTATTGCTCAAAGATTTTTTAAGTTGACTAATTTGAGAACTGTTTTTCTTATTGACATATCTTTATAAGATTTATTTATTTTATTGTACTGTATTATAATGTAGGTATATACTGTATTATAATCTACTGAATGCATTCAACTTTTAGGATAAGATAAAAAACACGAATGCGATAATTAAAGTATATTCTTGTATATACTTATAACATAGTACAATGTTTCTATCTTCTCTACAAGCTTTATTTGCTATTCAGGGAGTGCTAACAGATACAGAAGTGATTCATTGGGTAAGGCAGAAGAATCACTAACTACAGTACTAAGAATTAAAGATCACGATTTGATCCCGAAACTAGTCGAGCTTTTTCGATCTAATTACACATAAGTTAAACCGGTTGTAACTACATTAAAATATGTGTGCTTAGGAAACTTTTAACAGTAAAAAAAGGCTGAAGAAGAATGAAAGTACGATTCGTGCTGTAAAAATAAGAGGTTTGAGAGACGTGGAAAGTAAATTGTAGTGTAACATTAAAAGACAGAGTAAGAAATAATCTGATTAAAGAGAAGTGTGATCTAAACGATGATGTAGTGTCAAAGATTAAAAACGGAATATTCTGCCTTATGTAATAGGAGAAAAATATGTGGTCATTGTAAATGGTTAAAAGAAAACTCACCTGTAATTTATATCCGTACTGGCTGGTATAAAAAATAGGGGACACCAGTTCAACGCCATCTTTGCATTTGGCCTCCGCCATTTTAGATGCCCACTCAGTAATCCTCCAGACGAGTACACCTGAGCAATTGACTGATAGACGAGCCACGGCTGCTCTGAGGGACTCCAACTGGCGGGCTTGGCGGGAAGCCAACGTTGAGACTAGAGCTAGGTGCTGCTGGCAATTTTCCTCTGTGTGCCTTTCTAAAGCTTGTCTTGTACCCTAGAAGATTAAAAAAACTGTTGAAAAATTTATAATTTTTAAATTGAAAAGTTAGTGATTATTTTGAGGCTAATAAATTTGTTTCTTTTTTACTTTATTTTTAGTCGTACACTTTTGGTTTATTTGTAAATTTATGATCGTATCTTGGAATAAGAGATATCGTAACTTTTTCGTTTTTGGATATTGTAAGAGGTAACCGAGGAAATAAAACACAATGCCTGATGTGTTTAGGGGAAAAATAGATAGTAATGAGGTCTAATATTGTAACAGTATGCTATATATTTTAATATATGGATACATAATGGGTTCCCATGTTTAGAAATGTCAAAACTAATTCAATGGTAAAGGCACGAAATGATCTGAATTAGAAAGACAAACAAACTAACGGTACACCTGATGGAAAGTGGTAACCGTCATCTTTAGACACTACCAGCACGATGGACAAAATACACAATTATGCCCGTTTTTACGACTTGCTATTCCTATAAACTACATTATAATACATAGATTACTATTTGCTCTTCTATTGCAGTTGTTTTATTTGTTTTATATATTAATATTTAATGTATTTATTTATGTATGTATTTACTGTATTTATATATTTATTATATTATGCCTATGTTTATATTATATGAATTTATCAAATATTGCTTTATTTTTTTCTCTATTTAATAATGCACCGCCTACATATTTCTCGGTTTGCCCAATGGTTGACTGGTAGAGAACACCGTCCGGTGTTAAGTCCGCCAAATATACATTGAATTACACTATGCATTAAAGTTTAAATAAATAAATAAATTATGCCTCCGTTTCCTGCAATTTCACTATAAAAAGTTGAAACTGCAATCGTCGGAGAGAACCGTCTGACGGCGGTATTTTTTTTTATATACAACTTACAATGGCAAACAAGCTGACGGCCCACCTGATGGAAAATGGTAATCGTCGCCTATAGACATGAGCAGTACCATGGACATAACAGAGTAAACTGTTTCGCCCATGATACCCCCCATGCGTTGCCATTCCTGAGGACTCAGATGTTATTCCTCTGTACCCAGTAAATTCACGCCGTATCCCACCCTTCAAACCGAAACACAGCTGCTTCACGGTTGAAACACGAATGTGACAGAGGTAACCAAGCAATCGACTTTTGTACAAAGTCTCCCTCTGGTAAAGAAGTCTCAATGGTCTGAGGGCGTATAAAACGGGCGGGGAGGGGGGGTGACCGCGGGGTGCGTTACCTTGAAGCGGCAGCCGGCGTCGCGGAAGGCGCACGGAGCGCCGGCGGCGGCGCAGTGGTCGCGCAGGTGCGCGTCGAGCGCGTCGCGCGGCACGCACGCCGCCGCGCAGCGCTGCGGGCACGGCACCGGCGCGCGCGCGCACACCGCGCCGTGCGCCGACACCGTGTCCTGGGGGGCGGGGGCGGGGGCGGGGGGGGGGGGGATTGCAATAATGCGGATTTTCACTCCCATTGCTAACAATATACCCTAACAGGTCGACCTCAGGCGGAAAAGGATTGTTAGTAATGGAGACTGAGAATCCCATTGCTAGCAATATACCCAACCAGGTCGACCTCCTCGCGGTCACAGCCATGCAAACACAACTGCTTCACGGTAGAAACATGACTGGGACAGAGGTGGCTAAGCAAACGATTTTTGTACAAAGTTTCCCTCAGATAAAAATAACTTATGTCCTAATTTAGCATATAGGATACTGTATATACTGATTTACGCGAGCGAAGCCGCGGAATATAACTAGTTAAATCTGGGGGAAAGGGATTGTTAGTAATGGAACTGAGAATCTTATTGCTAGCAATATACCCAACCAGGTCGACCTCCTCGCGGTTCTCCCTGGAAACTATCATGGTTAATTCCTGATGAATTCATCATGATGGGCTAACTGGCTTGTTTTCATTCTCATCTATCACCGTTCACTGGTGCCCCGCCAGCGTATCCCGTTGGCGCAGGCGGGGCTACCATACCATTTTCACCCATCAAAAAGAAAAAAAACTCCAGCATCAACAATTCTATGAACACTTAATACACAAACCACTTTCTGTCCACTCGACACTTCGCTGAATGCTTGGGCTCGAGTTACATTCAAAATATTGTCAATTTAGCAAATCTCACCTGTGTGTATCTCTGACCGCAGTGTCTGCAAGGCACGAGCCGTTTACTGCAGTGCTGTTGTATGTGTTGTTGGGTATGTCTGCGTTGCACTTTGGCTCCACACTTGTTTTCACAGTATATAGGCTCATACCCACAGTTGCCTTGATGCTCCTGAAATGTGTTGAGAGTACTTTCTTAAAAATACGTAATACATTTTTTATACAATGATAATCTCGTCTGTTCGGGGGGAAAGGGATTATTAATAATGGGTTCTAATAACCCCATTGCTAGCAATATACCTTATCAGGTCGATCTCCACTCGTTTCCCCTTGAAAAGAATTGGTTAATTCTTGTCGGATTCTTCACGATGCTCCGACTGATCCACCTTCATCCTCATCTATTTCCTATCACTGGTGCCCCTCCAACATATACCCATAGCGCAGATGTAGTTACCATTCCATTTTCACCCATCATAAAATCCCTACACTATCGGTATCCACTGGCGAAGTACCAGTGAGGAATAAACAGGTGAAAATAAAACCAGGTCAGTTGGTCCATAGTAATGTATACTCCAAGAATTAACCACAATGACCCCACCATATTACTAGTAATAGGAATATTAGTCCTCATTCAATTCTAACAATCCCTTCCCCCCAAAATTTCACTTGCCATTTGTCAGGTAAACACTGGTGTTCCCCTGCAAACCATCGTGGTTAATTCTCAGTTAATCAACCACGATATGATTTGACTTCTCACTCTTCATTCCATCTCCCATTGGCGCCGCTTCATCATCATCCATAAAAAAGTAATCATAGATTTTTACCACAAGAGGCATTCATTTTTAAAAGTCTTTAATATTTCTCATTCCCACATGCTCATATATTGTGTCGCTCATCTAATAGCATCCTATGAAACGAACCCCTCATGTTCTAATCCTTTTCTCAGAAAGTGATAACTAAGGCATTATGCCTATATAGCATAGAGGTATAATACCTTAGTTATGCGAGACTATTATTAGGGTTATAGACTCTATCCCTCTAATTTCACTGCCGTATACCACCTTTAAAACGAAACAATCATGCAAGCAGTAAGTAAGCTGAAACATGATCGGGATAGAGAAACCCATGCAGGCCACTACAAAATCTCAAAAAGATCTAGTCATCTAGTTCTTGAAACAGATTTTTATAGATTATTATTTGCAAATGGTGTCTTCTTTTACCTCGAGCGCACTCTCGGAGAACTCCTTGTGACAATGCTCGCAGTTAGCTCGGCGGCGGGGACAAGTGTACCGGAGATGATCCTGCATCAGTACACGGGGTATCATCGCTCCGCACTGCGCCGAGCACTGGACAGCATCGTGCTTACATGTGTTGAGGTGCGCCTGCGCATAATATAGTCTAATTAGTCTAGTGAGAATAAATACTTCGGAAGTGGAGGCCTGGTAACAGTATGTATTGATAAAATTTTGTTGAAAGGAATCTTAATAAATAAATCTATCTATCTTAATAATAAATTAGTTTGCATCAGTACATACATATGTAAATATTACAGTGCAAATTTAATGTGCTAATAAAAATCCGGATTTTGGGATCCGGATAAATATTTTATCTCAGTCTATTTTAAAAAGGATTAGATTCTAAATTAAACTCCATTTTTTTATACACATATTTTATGATTTTTACAACAAAATACTAAATAATATAAATACCTACTACTACCTAAACAACCGGTTTTAAATTTTGTCTATGACTAAAATTTCAAGTGTAACTTTGTTCAAACGTGTGCCTACACGGAAATAACTGTTCATAAATATTAAGTAATTACAAACATTCCTAAAGCATTTAAAAGAAACTATACAAGTAGGTACTTTCATACTTTGAAGTCATTATAAATTTTTATGAATAAAGTCACGTACTGGTGGCAAACTAACATCAAGTCACTAAACAAACATGATGAAGACCGACGCAAGTCTCCCGCCCCATACCACACGCCAACTCGAATGTTAGAGATAAAGAATATGTTTTAACACGAATAGCTATATGACTTGTAGCACGTATTATATGATCCACTTAACTATACAAATACTAATAATATATACAAAACAACTCTTACCCCCAATTTGCGTAATTCATCCGACCATGTACACCCATCTTTATGGTGGATGCAGTACACCACGGATGCTTTCTCAGATTCAGGATCTGGATATATCTGCAACAAAGAAATACACAGTTTAAAACTTCACTCGTACCATACAACGAATTACCAATTGAAAAATACCTCAATCACTTTTTTCTTTAATTTGGAAATTATATATTTGATCATTTTGAACGTTTGGGAACGTGAAACACGACGTCAGAAGGAACTGTTGCCGCCAAGACTGATTGAGGCGCTGGCTACACTAGTAACGAATTAAATAGGACAACGCGATTAAAAATAAACCACATCTCAAAAACAGAATACAAAACGAGCGGGAGCTACGCACCGTGCGCTCGAATATGGAACACATCGGAAATATGCAAAATGGCGGCTTGTTTTTCGCGCGTAATAAATCCAACGAAACGCAGGAGTGCTCACTAGAAGGGCCTGATACTAAATGAACGTTCCCATTTATGTGTACGTTTTCGTTATCTTTTATGGGTGCAACGAACAGATGGCTCGCGCTGTGGACCACTGTTCCCAGTGTTTGTGTCGAGATAAGCGTGATTTTTCTCTTTCCAAACCAGCTGGATAATGGATTGAGCAAATACACGTGTAGCATTCTTTCGAACCAGTTCTTTCGCGTCGTTGCCTCATTTGTTTCTTTCCTATAAACGCAACGTGGATATAAATGTAAACCCTATTTCAAAAATAACAATATACAACATTTTGTTTGTAAACAATGTTAGCTAAAGATGTGATGCATCCTGTTAGATGTAGAGATGTCCCCAGTCAATACGCGCCCACCGTCTACTCGGTGATTCCGTTTACATAATGTGTCAAGACGTTAACACTTGTCGTCTATCGTACATCGTCAACTTCTTGTTTACGTAGCGCCGGTTCGTCGAGTTAAACGGGCGATGGATGTGACACATTTGGTTGGTGTAAAAGATCAAAAGTTCTTAGTAATACCACGAGTTCTATTTACAAACATTGATGCATGTGGTCATCGGCATGGCTGCTGCATAACCGTACCACCTTAGGATCATCATTCTGCTCGAGTGAAACAAAGTGCCCACTAGCGTCAATGATAAAGGAGTATCAGTCGTAAATCTGAGTGGTAAAACTGAAAGTCGTAAACAGAGCCCACCGTGGATAGACGCTCTCGTAGTTGGTGGTGTATAAATTTACAAATATAGAATGTTATTTGTGTCGTATTCTAAAAAGATGGACCGCGATGTGTTGAACTCTCCCGCAACGCACAATTATAGAACTCGTATAGTAAACGCAGTAGAATTAGAATGTCATAGTTTTCCATGGATGCACGGTTCTTACTGCGTTTCGGAGTGAGAGCTCCGCCAAAGCCAAAGGATAGAAATGAAAATGTTATACTGCCATTTGTAAGACATCATTGGCTCGAAGTTGATGTTAGCCATGCCACCAGATATGTCTTAGATAACATCAGAAATAAAGTGAAGATCGTTAATACACTATTTTATGTACCTACTCGTTATCTGTTTACGGAGATCACAAACATTTTATTTGGGCTAATTAATCAACGACGGTATGCAAATGGTCGATAAAAGTCTTACGAAATGCAATCAAAGTGGACAAGAAATCTGTGATAGGTAGCAGACCTTACACCCACGTCTGCTAGGATCTAAATGAAACTGATCAACATTAATTTGTTGTAATTAATTAAATTAATGTGCAAAGAAACAAAGTGGGCGTCAACTGCAAAAGAATCTATAACAAAATCTTCAAATTACACCTAGATTTATTAATTCTACGCCCACTTATATTGTACATATTTCACCAGAGGGAGACTTTGTACAAAAGTCGTTGGCTTAGGCACCTTTGTCCCACTCGTGTTTCTACTGTCAATCAGTTGTGTTTGCATGGCTGTGTTTCGGTTTGAAGGGTGGGATATAATAGTGAATTTACAGGGCACAGAGGAATAATACCTGAGTCCTCAGGAATGGCAACGCTTTAGTATCATGGGCGAAAAAGTATACTCTGTTATTTCCATGCTACTTGCTTATGTCTATAGACGACGGTTACTATTTACCATCAGGTGGGTCGTCAGCTTATTTGCCATTCTAATTTGCATAACAGAGTATACTGCTTCGCCCATGATACCCCCCATGCGTTGCCATTCCTGAGGACTCAGGTGTTATTCCTCTGTACCCTGTAAACTCACGCCATATCCCATCCTTCAAACCGAAACACAGCCATGCAAACACAAATACTTCACGGTAGAAACATGAATGGGACAGAGGTAGCCAAGCAATCGACTTTTGTACAAAGTCTCCCTCAGGAATAGTCTACAATTGATTAGTTATGACTCGTGTTCTCATGACGTAAGTAAACAACTACAAGGAAATACATAATGTTTTACGCTTCCATCGAAATATAGAGCGTCTCTCTAAATTTATACAAATAACAAGATAAGCATTTATCAATAAAGGGAATGTTTGATAAAGCGTATTTCGTAGATGTATATGTATATACATATAAGTTTATCTAACGGTCACTAATACCCGAAGTGTGACGCCAAAATAAAGTAGGTACTTATACAGAAAGAATGTAATTTAAAATTGTGACGCATTTCGTACTTTTAGTGTGTTCAGTATTACTAGACTTTTTACCAGAGGGAGACTTTGTACAAAAGTCGTTTGCTTGAGTACCTCTGTCCCATTCGTGTTTCAACCGTGAAGCAGTTGTTTGGCTGTGTTTCGGTTTGAAGGGTGGGATATGGCGTGAATTTACTGGGTACAGAGGAATAACACCTGAGTCCTCAGGAATGGCAACGCATGGGGGGTATCATGGGCGAAACAGTATACTCTGTTATGTCCATGGTACTGCTCATGTCTATAGGCGACGGTTACCACTTTCCATCAGGTGGGCCGTCAGCTTGTTTGCCATACTAAGTTGTATAAAAACAATAGTATTACTAATTTCTTATAATAAAAAATAGGTTCAACTACTTTTTTGTAGTGTCTAAGGAAGCAAATGTTTTTTTTAGATTTCCTTTCATTTTCATAGAGTTTGTCGAAATTTCATTCTCTGTTCGAAAAATTTAGATTTATCTATCTTCAGTCCAGGATCCTTACAGTATAGACAGATAGAACCGAGTGTGAAGGATGATGGGGATTGTACGGCCGCCATTATTGGCAATACATCCTGTTAAGTAGCCCAGCTTCCTGAAAACCATCCTAACCTTTTTATCATCATCTATCCTTCCTCACCCAGCATCGTAAACAAATTCAGATGTAATTACTGGATTGGAATGGTAACCATGTGGTTACGATTCCATTTTCATCCATTAAAAATTTACTGGCCTCTATTCTTACATACATCTTTTAATCACAATTTTATGGGTTTAATTTATTACAAGTATTATTTAACCATATTAGGTACTGTTTCAATTTATGCAAGGTTCAATATTTTACATTCGAGGCCTAACAAACTAATCAAGAAGGCTGTACGTTTGTCTGTCTGTCAGCGTGGGTGCCGTGATGCAACAGTGATGTGGGCGGCCAAATAGTTATTTACCTTGTAACTTTATTGAGTTTTATTCCTTGCTGCTTACATTACAGGACTTACATTTTGCCTTTTAGGATTTTTTATTCAACTACCCTCAGATTGTAGAATATGTTTTTCCCGTGAAATGTTCCCTCTATTCTATAACCTCGAGTCCTTTAAAAGAAGTATTAAAAAAAACTTAGTAAACCGAAATAGAGCGGGCAACCGTAAAAAGAATATTCTCTTTTCGGTTGACCATATTGTCCCTGAGTTCGCTCAGGACCGGTCACATGATGTGCTATTAAAAAAAAAAACTAAATTTTGCTCTAAACAAGCTTACTACTCACCTGATGTAAATTGGTAATCGTTGCCTATAGATATAAACAAAACCGTGAGCCCTAAAACTCTACAGATTGCTTCCTGATGAATATTTTTTTATGCCTCAACAAGATTATCTTGTCCAATTTTTTTTTGTTTTTTTTTTTTATTAGTATGACTCCATGAACAAATAAAACGATGTTAAAGTCCCTTCTTGATAGGTCGACGAGTTTAATATTAAAGTTATTGTAATGTTTAATTGTACATGTTTATTAAAGCATCCGGGTCGTTATGGCTAAAATTTTCCTCGTCCTGTGGGATTTTAAACGTGATATAGCAAATAGAAATGAGTACAAAAACAAAAAAACCAATACTTTTTTAATACATTAGATTGAAAATATTTGAATTTAGAACGTATATTGTGGATATACAAGTCTCAAATCTGCTATAAAACCATCAATTTTTTGCTCCGCAAAGATGTAAGATTTTTATTGTTTTTTTTTTTATTTAACATAACTAATGTACGAATTGTTTTATAGTCGGGAATAAGTATACTAAGAGATTATTTACTTACTCAATCTAACATTTTTCCAATTGTTTTTTTTTTTTTTATTAAAAAGAAAAAGTTCAGCGCCATTATTAAATATTAAATCGAATGGCGCGAATGTTGACAGACTTTTTTTCACTCTATGGCCGCATATTTTTTTTTTTATTTAGAATAATAGTGGGAAGCAATGAACGCGTACTGGAGTAACTGGACTCGTGTACTTCCTATTAGCTCAATACAAACAGACCATAATATGGTTCTTAGTTAACGATTTTACGGTTTCTGTTCTCTACAGAGACGCCGCAGGTTGATTGACAAGTGACGACGTTCGACTGTCGACTTTGCTTTTAATGTACTAATCGTGAAAGTTGAGTGTTATTGCATAGGAAATAAGATTGAAATTCCTATATACTATAGTGATAAGACGGTAAAGATAATTTTGTTTATGGCAAGCTATCGACACGCGCTGACGTGGGAATGTAAACAACGCCCTAAAAATATATTTGGGATTACTTTCAAGTATCGTAGTAAACTCGTAGTAACACTCACTGATACATTATATATTACTCATAACGCGCATTTTGCTTCATAGATGATATATTTCTAAATTTACCCATACTAATGTAATAATGTAAAGAGAAAAGATTTGCTTGTTTATTTGTAATAGAATAAATTGTCAAAT